GACAGAGCATGCGCTGTTACGCAAAAACCGCGATAGAGTGAAGCCGCGGAAGTCGAAGCGCGAAGTGGCGAGGGTTCACTGTATATGAAAACATATGTGTGATCAGGACTGAAGGAAGGATCATTAACAACCTGATATATGCAGATAACATAAACATGCTCAAAGCCAAAAGGGCTTACAGCACTTATTGATGAAAATCAGCCTAAGTGTGGATTAGAATTCAATGTGAAGAACAGAAAAATCCTCACAACTGAACCAATAGACGACGTCACAATGAGCCGAGAAAAGAATGATGCTGTGAAGGATTTCATTTCACTTGGTTCCCCAGCGGTCAAGAAGTCATGTAACGGGCTGCACACGGTGTGATGAGAGTGTTCAAGAGCCATGGTGTCCCACTGAGGCCTGAGGCATGCCGCACTCAGACCACAGTGCTTTCAGTCACCTCCTAGGCATGTGCAAACTGGACAATGGAGAAAGAGGACCACTGAAAATTAGTCCATTTGAATGATGCTGTTGGCCAAGAATATGGAAAGTGCCGTGAACTGTCTGCAGAGCAGACAAACACGTCTGGAGATCAATCCAGCCCGCAGGGAGCGGGGTGGGATGACATCTCATGTACTTTGGACCTGTTGTCAGGAGGGCCCATCCCTAGAGCACGACAGTGTGCTCGGTGAGGCAGAGGATCGGTGAGAAAGGTCCCTGGATTGACACAGTGGTTGCAACAACAGACCACAGTGCAACAACAACTGGAAGGGTCATGCAGACCGGGTAGTGTGTCAATTGGTTGTAAGTTGGGTTGACATGACTTCAAGCACGCGAGGCCACCTGTCAACAACAGGTTAAAGCACCTTACAACAAGAGATGAAAGAAAGAAGAATTCTTTGGGAGAAGGTTAGAGAGGTGGAAGCACCACCTTCAGAAGAGTATAGGCAAAGATGGAGGGCATGTCAAGAAATTTTTGGTTTACATTTTGACACTTTGCAAAATATTTTTTTTAGCATTTTAGTGATATTTTTTGACTTACCTTCATATACCACCCTTACCACATGGTACTTTCTACACCCCAATTGGCTTCTAGAAGGTGTGCACAATTCTTTGTTCATTTCTCTAGTGCTAATCTGTAGTACAGGGCCAGACACAGAGCTGGCGTCCAAAACGAGGGTGGACCTTAATATACTATATGTACTATGGGAATGTTTATTATCCTCTGTCTTAACAATATTCTCAATGAGACCACTTACTGCCTTTCACAGGCCTTGCCCTTCTCATTAGAGCCAATGGCTTTCCTGGAAAGAAAGGGTCTCATGGTGGACCATGTGAGTGAGTGCTACCAGTCTTTGTGTGTAAGTCATAGGCCTTTCTTACTGAAGACCCTGTAGTAGATTCTCTTTCTCCTGGATCCAGCAAGGCTACTTCAATTAGTATGTCTCTTCCTTCTGCCTTCTCCGCCAAACAGTGATGGCTCGTCCTGAATTTGGGAAGATCACCGATTTGAATCATCAGGTGTGGTTCCTTCAGGGTGACACCCTTGTGGCCATTCCAGGGAGTACCAATGTGTCTCCAGGTAAGTGGTCCTCCCCCGTGGCTCATTCCAAGGGAATCAGTCCTGTTCATGGGCACCCTGTTCTATTGGCTTCCACACTCCTGTTGAAGTTGGCATTTGTAATGGGGTCCACCTTCAGGGGTTATAATTTCACGGACAGCTGGAAATTGTTGCTAGGGAAAGGTTTTTGGACCGTAGAGATAGGAGATGGTAAAGAAGCCTCCTTGGGGACAGGAGAGCTGCGTTCAGTTCTGGGAAGACCTTTCCTGTTGAAGAGGAGAATCTTGTTCTGCGTGACTCTGAGGGCTCTTTAGAAGGAGTGCAGGTGCAATCCTCCACCTAGCAATGATTTCAGTTAGAAAGAACCATATTTGTGACCGCCCCCTCCCCCTCTCTTTTTTTCCTACTAACATCTTATCACTAGTAATATGTACTACATACACTGTTACAGTATGCAATTTGCTGGTGTTATATTTTCATGTCAATGCCAAAAGGTAAAACGAAGTTTGTAAAGATTTTAATAGTAAAAGGCAATGACGATGAACACAGAAAATGACCGACCACACCTGAGATAGACTTACTGGAGAACTGGCTTACCACAGAGTGCAAGGGACAGAGTACGGCAAGGACGAGCTATACTGGATGGCTGTCACAAAGAGGCAACCTCAGTTCCGCATTCGACAGATCTTGCTAATGAGCGGACAGAGCTCTTCAAGCATGAGGAGTCTTGCCAGAGTGGAGAAATTACCCTTTACAGAGGTTGAAGCAGAGGGGCCAGTGTAAGATATGAAAACAACGATAATTTATAATGTATCAAAGGGTCACTAGGGTGGGAGGGGGAAAAAGAGGAGGCGACACCAAAGGCTCAAACAGAAAGAACATGTTTTGAAAATGATGGTGGCAACATATGTACAAATGTGCTTGACACAATTGATGTGCGGATTGTTTTAAGAGCTGTAAGAGCCCCCAATAAAATGATTTAGAATAATAAAAAAAATCTCTAGGCCAGGGATTCAACTGGTTTAATTCTTCATGTTTGTCTAGTTTCCTAAGGCAGCGATTGTCACCTTGTGTAAACGAGTGAATCGTTGAGCATAGTGTTTGGCCAGATCATGGGGCCAGAGTAAACCCAAAACCAAACCAACTGCCACTGAGTCAATTCTGGCCCGTAGCCACCTGTAGGATACAGTAGGACTGCGCTGGGGGTGGGGGGGGGGGCGGTTTCCTGCTTCTGTATGTCATTAAAGGATCCGACAATCTTGTCTTTCTCGAGAGGCAGCTGGTAGGTACAAACTGTTGACCTTGTGGCTGCATAACATCCCAGGTGTAGTGCATGTCCCCAGGGCCCCAGCACCAGGGTAGCTGAGATTATGCCCTTACATCTTGTCTGGCTTCATTTGAAAGTTATGACCTTGTCAATCAAAGGGTCGTTTCTTGACTTCACACCGAAGCTGATGTCCTCTCTCCCTTTTAAATTTACAGTCACTGTAACTTTCATGCCATGCCAATATCCAGAGCTGTTTGAGAAAGACAAAGGCATTCCAATTTATTTGGGAATAAAGACTCCAGAAAGGTGTTTGTCTTGTGAGGATGTTCAAGGGCAACCCACACTGAAACTGAAGGTGAGTGATTGAAAAACATCATGGAAAAAAAGAGCAACTTTTCATTTCTTTCCTTTTTTATTATTAGTTGGGATTGCATACATATATATATAATATTATTCCATATTTCAATCACATCAAGTAGAATTGTACAATGGCTACCACAATCTGTTTCCAAACAATCTTTTTCTACATGGACTTCTTGACATTGTCTCCCTTTTACCCCTCCACCACCACTGTGCCCCCTCCCCCACAACCCCCTCAGACTACTTGCTGTCCCTCTAGGCTCATCGATGCTGGGTTTCATTTACTGAACAACGGAAAAGCATGTAACCCAGCTCCAAGAGGGTGATCTCCATTGACACAACACCTCTGAGATGCACGTAACACGAATGAACAAAACCCACACCAAACAATACAAACCAAAACCACAGAGGTATTTGGAAGCCAGATCAGGTCCAGCCTCCTTGTTTGATAGAAAATCTAAATTTAGAATTAAAAAAAATAAATGTTCTCATTTCTTTTTGCATTTTCCTTTTGATTTATGTGAATTCATGTTGCCTTTGACTAGTTTATTACAAGGCATTACTACTAGTGCTAGTTTACTACAAGGCATTAGCGAGTCCTTCCCTGGTTGAGGAAGGACTCCGACCTTTCTTTGAAGACATTGTCAAGCACAATTTCTTCAAATAGAGTCTCTTCTTTATTCTGATTTATTCCTCCTTTTAGGATTCCTTTCATCCATTGTTGAATCTCATTGTTAGATCTCACTTCAGTATTACAATATTTTTTTCATACTTTTCATCTTCATATTATTATTTTGGGTATGGTCTAGGAGAAATTCTTACTCTAATCTTTCAACTAATAAAAACATTTTCAACCTTATCCTGTCTGATAAATCAGCCTTCTGCTCCACTTTCTTAAATTTCAACCTTGACTATTTAATTTCCAAGTTCTCTAGTTGATTCATTATATAACTAGCTGTGTGTCTTCGATACACCTCAGTTGAATAAAGTGTATCAAATTCAGCTATTGTGTGGATATGTATTGGCTTCACATTATTGTGGGTACTTGGCATATACAATGTACAGGATGATAAAGAGCTCTGTTCTCATGTAGTGAGAGGAGAAAGATATTTTAAGCTATAGACATCATTATAATAGGAACATGTGTGATATATTAAAGGGAGATTGGTAGTGCAGGAGACAGAGACAGAGTCATGTTGCTGTAATAACTAATACAGTAATCTTCATTGAAAAAAATAAGATTTCAGTAGTGGGTAGTAGGCAAGAGAAATAGGTAATGTAATATCCAGCAATGTGATGTCCAAAGACTAATGAAGAAACCCAGGTGGCAGGGGTGAAGGTAAGAGTTCAACTAGAAAAAGATGGCAATTGGGTGAGGGTTATAGATTGAATAGTGTACCTCAAAAATATATGTGGGAGCCCTAACCCCTCTATCTATGGATACATCCCATTTGGAAGTAGAGCTTCTTTATGTTAATGAGGTCTAGTCAATGTAGAATGCATCTTAAACCCAATGACATTTGAGGTATAAAAGACAAGCTTAGACACAGAAAAAGGAAAAATAAATCCCATGTAGATATCACCAAGAATAAGGAATAGCTAGGCTAGAGATTTTGAGACAAGGATTTTCTCCCATAGCAGGCAAAGGAGATGTTTCCCCCTAGAGATGATGCTAGAATGTAAACTTGTAGACTCCTAATTTGTGAGGCCACAGTCACAGTTTGTGTGATGTTGGAATCAGGAAGCGATGCCACCAATATTTCAAATAGCAACAGGGTCATCCCCAGTGGGTAGATTGCTGTGGTGCTTGAACACAGACTAAGCACAGACCTGGGAGAAGGACTAGTCCACGTCTGAGGGACTTTGAAGAGCAACAGAGCATTAACTATTTTCTATGGTGCAGGGAGATGAGAGTGACCTTGATGAGAGTGGCATTGGTGTAGTGGTGGGGGGAAAGCCTGGATAGAAATAGTTTAAGAGACATATTCAAGGAGAGAATTAGACAGCAAATGCAACCCATCTAGATTTTTTCAGCAAGGGCAACTGGTAGTAATGGTGGGTAACAGAAGTGTTTATTTTTTTAAAGATGGTGGAAATGAGAACAAGTGTGATGCTGATGTGAATGAGTGAGTAGAAGATGTAGAATTGATGGTGTGTGATAACGAGAGGTACAAAGAAGAAAGGAAGGAAAGAAAGACAGAAATATTTTTTGTTGTAATTGTTTTTTTAGCATTTTATCCACCTCATACAATTGCAGAATTTAATCATGTCGACGAGTATACAATTGTCATCATATTCAATTCTAGAACATTTTCTTTTTCTTTGTACTCACTGTTATTCATGTAGTTATTATTATTTTTCTAATTGTGGCAAAAATATACACAACAGAACATTCTCCAATTCCACAACTTCTACTTGTATTATACTCTTGATGCTTGATAGCCACTATTAATATACTTTTCCAAATTACTCTACCACCATTGACATACACAACTCTTTCCCCTTCACCTATGGTAACCATCGGTCAAGTTTGCTTTCTTCCCCTCCCCCACCTGTGATTTCTTGATATAGTATTCACATATCATATACTTCCATGGTTAGATAGCTTTTTAAATGAGTTGTATAATCACAATCAGTTCTAGTGCTCCCTCCTTATCTCCCACCCCACCCCACATCTCCTATAGACCTCTGCATCAGTTATTATCGCTATGCTTCTGTGCTTCACAGACTGAGAAACCCAACAGAAACAATAAAAAACAAAAACAGAGTAATGTGTTAAGGATAAAATAATCATAATATAAAGAGAAAAATACCAAATAATGAGTAAGAAAAAAAAGACCACCATCAAGATTTAAAAAGCCAGGGAAGAAATCTTTGTCATGGAACAAGCAAGAAATACTTGAGCCTAGAAAAAATTAGGTTGGATAAGTGGGAGGTCAACTCACCAAGTCTCAAGTTTATCCAGCGTATTCAAGTTTGCAATGATTTCTGTTAATAAAGTTATTTGAGACCCTCACCTGTGGCTAGAGGGCATCTGCCAGAAGCTTACTCTTACAGGCTACTCTGCAGATGGGATTTGGGGTCCCATTGTCCTCCATAGCCTTCTACAAATATGGGTGAGGAGCATTCTTAAATCGGGGAGTGCAGGGAGAAATTTGTTGTCCCAATAGAGGAATTAACTTGAGAGTGGCAAGCGTGGCTTGGGCAGTAAGGCATCGGTGTAAAGCTGATGCTGGGAACACATGTTGTGGTATGACTTATGGAAACTCTCTTTTAGTTGTTTTAATTTTCTTAGTGAATAGGAAGTTGAAAGTGAGGATGGGGAAGAGGTATTGACATTTTAAAAAAGAGAATGTTCTTTCATTTATTAAACAGTCAACAGATATCTATTGAGTCGAAAGCCAGGAACTTTTCCATTTAATAAGCATTCCGATGATGATTATAAAATCAGTAGGTAAACATGCTAAATTCAGATGATGCTTAGTACTAATATGAAAGTAACCTGGCAAGGAAATGGGTGGCTGTAGTGGTAGGCGGAGGGCGAGTGTTAAGGTTTTATTGAAAGAGGAGATAGTTGCATGAGATCTGAGTGAACGGGAAACTACAGGCCTGGGAGATAATGTCCAGGTGGAGTGAGGACGACAAGACCCAGGTGCATCGGGGTAGCAATACGTTTCTCTCTTGGGGTGAAATGAATAAGATAGGTGTGGCTGTTGTCCAGTAGGTTTGCAGGACAGTGGTGGAGGTAAGAGTAATGATGAAGGTAATATTTGAATGTTATAGACCCTGTAGACCCGTTTAAATGTTTATATTTTTATTGTAAGGCAATAGAAAAGTATGGAAGCATTTTTAACTAGTAGGTAACACCATTCTATTTTTCATCAGTATAAAGGCTGCTGATTCACTTTGGGGAAAATAGATGATTGGAACACAGGTTGAGGTCAAGGAGAACAAATTAGAACATTATCTCAATTGTCCAGGTAGTGGCCTGTATTGGGGTTTTGTGGGAGGGCTTGTGAGAAGCTACAACATCACTACAACAGTCTTTGGGAAATAGTCCTTATGGCTTGCTGCTGGCTTGAATGTTGAAAGACAGGTTAAAAACAGAGATGCCAAAGAGGACTCTTGAGTTTTTGACGGCTCCGTATTGAATGGATTAACTGGATGGCATTAACTGAGTAATGTAAGTTTTTAGGAGAAGAACTCATCATGAAACTGAAAATGAGACAAATTCTGGACCATTTCTGTCTCTAAGAACTTGTTTCTATATAATTTACATAGAATTACTTATTTTACAGAAATTATATAGTATATGAGAAAATTTCTTCACGATGCAATATAGAAGTCATTTTTCTATTTCTCTGCTTTTTTCTTTTTGGTACAAGTCATTTGATTTGTTAAGTAATGTGTCTTTTTCATGATATTTCCCTTTCCATATGTTAGACTGTATCTCCCTGTCCTTTGTCTGGGCAGGGGTCTTGCACTAGGGTGCCTGTTCTTTAAGTTTTCACAAGTGGGTTCCTTGATTTACACTTTCAAATTTGCATCGGCTTCCTTTTCTAGAAGATTCCTTCAAACTTGTGTGAAAAAATGTTCCAGTTCATTACTGCTCAAGTGTGGCCCCTCGTTCACTTATTTGTCCCTTGTATCTTTCCCCCGTGGCTCTGCATTTGAGGATGGGTCCTGGGATGGTGAGGCTTTGTGGGTGTGCTCTCGGCTGCTCTTTGCAAGTATGCTTTTGGAGGCTTGTTCTACTAGATGGAGAAGCTTTTTCCAACTTTAGAACATGTCTCAGTTGTGAGCAAGTGTTCTGAACAACCCCAATGCCTCCCCTTGACTATTCTGTCTTACATTTCAGGAGGAAAAGATCCTGGATCTGTACAACAAGGACAAGCCTGTGATGCCCTTTCTCTTCTACCATGACAAGAAAGGAAGGACCTCCACATTTGAGTCTGTAGCCTTCCCTGGCCAGTTCATTGCTTCCTCAGCGAGAGGCCAGCCCATTTTTCTCACTTCAAAACGGGGAGAAACATACAACACGGAGTTTGATTTAGTTACAGGGTTTTGAAACCAGGCAGGAGGTCGAAATGTGGTCACACTTCCATCTTCTAATTCCCAATATGGTTTTGTCTATATCCTATCATTAAAATAGTACACCATTTCCACACCTATATAAAGAATTGAGCAGGGCTGCGATGATCTCATTTTAGGGATGAAGAAGAAATAACCAAGGAATCAAATGTGGACTCAGAACCAGGAAGGATGGAATGTTGCATGGTTCTCCTCACAAGCCAACATTTTCCATTTTCCAGATCAGAGTCATGTGAGTTCAGGACCATTCGCTTCAAAACTCTCAGAAATTTACCCAAGAGTTGTGACTCGCATCATGTTGCTCTTTGTTATGTGTTCTTTCCTTTTTCATGCCTTACTTTCTGTAATCTTACTATCTTGTCTGTGTCCCTCTTCGACCTTTAGAAATGAAAGGACCCTTGTGTTTCATGGAATTATTTTGTCCCCCTTTCCCCAATTTAAATGTGTGCACATAAAACCAAACATGCATGTTTATGTATAAACACAAGCGGTCTAACAAAAATAGATCTAAAGTGAAATTAGAAAACTCAGAGACTAAACTGAGATTAGTAGACTATAATTGAATGAAAACTGTAATCACGGTGGCCAGCATGGGAATGGGGTATGTCTAGGGAGTAAAGGAGCCTTGTCAATGGTGATCAATTCAAGGCAGGGAATTAAGCCTGAAATGGATGACGTGAAATGACACTCCAGAACAACAATTCTGTTTACAGCCTCACAGACTTGGTTTCTCCTGCTTATGCTAGTCTTTTCCATTTAGGCAGATTCACTATCCTTTAAAAACGACTGTAAGTTGCTTTAGAAGGCTCTTTAGGGAACAGAAAGCTTGATTTCCTACCAGCCATGCATCAGATGATACGTTCTGATGAAATTTAGCGTGTGCTTTTAGAAGTGACTGTAGAGAGATTTAGCTCAGTTCAATTTATAAATATAAAAGATTTCCCTAGAGTTGACTTCAATACTACTAATGCATAAAATGCTTGCTTCCTTAGGTAAATTCTACAAAATAGTGATAGTAATTAAAAACGTTTTTAAACTTTAGAATAATCAGTTTTCACAACTCTGTTAGGAACGCCAACAAACAATTTACAAGCCAATTTAATGCAACATCTCTTGATTCTTTAACATTTTCTTCAGTTGCATACAATTTCAGCTCTGCAATTTTATTAAAATGGGCACTTAAGCTAACTAGTTTTTGGATAGAAAAATCAGTCATTGAATATTGAGTTAGTTAGTTTATTGTGCCAACCTGGCCAATAAACACATGTGGGGTTAATTGAAAGGCAGCGGGATAAATGGCTCAGCAAGCCTCGCCTTTCTAGTTCTCGGGTCAATTGCTTTGTGATGGTCGCAACAGGGTGAAGCTGCCTTAGCAGTTCCCTGCTTCAGCTTGCAAGGCTAACTTCCTGCAAGACATCCCTGAGGAGAAGCCACATGGACCTACCCCGATGCAGCCCTGGGTGCTGGAGCATCTGTGTGGAGACTCCTGCCAGTGCTGAAATGCTTACATGTTCACTGACTCGGCTTTCCCCCTGCAGTCGGCATCATTGCGTGTGTTTTGTGAGATGGTGGAGGACTTTGTGGATTGGTGTTGGACATATGGGTTAATGTTGGACTTGTGGGCTTGGGCAGCACTGGGTTGGGATGTTTTCTTGATGCGCACTTAACCTTTACATAAAACTCTCTCTTATACATGAGTTTCTGTGGATTTGTTTCTCTAAAGTACCCAGACTAACACAAATATTTACCTTTTTTTTTTTTTAACCCAAACTCCCTGTCATCAAGTCATTTTTGATTCATAGTGACCCTGCAGAACAGAGTAGAACTGCCTCTGTGGGTTTCTGAGACTGTCACTCTTTACAAGAGCAGAAAGTCTCATCTTTCTCCTGAAGAGTGGCTAGCAGTCTCAAACTACTGACCTTGGAGTTAGCAGCCAATGTGTAGCCACTACCACTGCCATGGCTGGTTTTGAGTATTATACTCATTGCCAATAAATGCTAACACTACTACATGTTATATATTAATAACTATTCTGTATAAATGATCATTTACATTAGACTCACTGCTAATAAATAGGTTGCTACACAGACAATTGGGATCTGATGGCATATTTGTGAGGACATGATTATGGTTCTGAGGTCTGTAGTGAATCTCTATTCTACCATTACGAAAAAGGCCAACTGACATCGAGTCACGTCTCACTCATAGCAACCCTATGTACTCACTGCTAATAAATGATGGCAGGTACCTACATGGGTCATTGGCATCTGATGATACATTGGTTATGATGTGATTATGGTTCTGTGTGCTACAGAACATCCCATCCTACCACAGGCTCAGTGATGACTCAGTGCTCCCTCCATTGTTCCTTACAGTGAAAACGTTTGTTCATGCATGACACTGTGATACCTTGGACATCTGTGACTTGGCACAGATAAGGAGCTCAGACAAAATCCCAAACAGGAGTTATGATGCCATGCAGCTGGCCTCAAGGGGAAGGTGGTCACCCTGATGATTCCAAGTAGGCTCTTACTTCAGGTTTAGAGAATAATCAAAATGAAAATACCAAGGTTCAATAACCTCATGGAGAGTTAGTAGAACCAGGACACAGACTTTCATGGAACGTGGTTTGCACGTGACATTTGAGAAATAGTACACTATACCCTGGCTTTTAAACCAGGGAAGGCTTCTATGAACAGTGACACCCTTCTTTTCCATTTTCAAATATTTTAACAAGTGGGGGATGCTGGTGATTAGTCCAGCTTGAAAAATGCTCTTCTGCATCATCCCAGTGGAGTTTTGTGTATGAAAAGACTCAGGTTTATCATGCTAGGGATGACGTGTGTGCTTCTACAGAAATAGATACATAACAGTTTATAGACTTTGCTAATTTGGTTGATGTTGGCTTCTCTAGAATTGTCCTATAAAAGTAAATTGAACTAAATAACTTATAGAAAGGTTCTTAAACCCTCAAATATAATTTCACGATAACCTAAAATTGGAATAAACCCAAATCTCTATCAGTGGGTGACCAGATCAATACATTATGGTACCATACAAAATACTACTGCTCATCAGTAAAAAAAGACATGAACTGCTCATAGAGATACAACTAGATGAATATAAACATTATTAAAGGAAATCAGATATAAAAAGTGCATATTGTATAATTTTGTTTACATGACTTTTGAGAAAGGTGACCTGACAAAATACTCAAATTACAGAGCAATATCATTAATATCATATGCAAGTAAGATTTTGCTGCAAATCACCCAACAATGGACACAACAGCACAAGGGGCTACGCCCACCCCCAAAAAGGGGAGATTTTTTTCAAAGCTATGTATTTAAATTTTTTTTACAGAACAACTTTATCACCTTCAAAACCCTCTCCATTACACTTAATCCATTTGTCAAATATGCCATTCCATTCTTAGAAACACTTTTCAAACTCATCTGTTTGGATGGCTGGCAGCTCCTACCTCGTTTTTTTTCTTCACCTCTTCTCTGTCCTTTCATGTCCCCCTTTGTTCATGGAAACAAAAAGAAGTTGCAGAAAGTGCAGGTGGGACAAGATAGGCTTACTGTTTCTTGCCCAAACTGACACAGTGAGTTGGCTGCGTGAACAGATACATTGTCATGATGGCAAAACCAGTCCCCCATCTGCCACAAACCAGGCCTTTTTGGGCACACACTTAGGCAATCTTTTCAGAAACTCTAAATAGAATGCTTCATTAACAATCTGTCCTGGTGGAATGAACTCTAAATGCACTATTCCCCTCATGTAAAAAACATGAATAAAAAATAAAGCAAATGGGCATCATCTTGATTTTTTATTTCAGTTGATGAGCTTTTTGGGGGCGAGGTGATGAGGGTGTCTTCTTGATTGATGTTTGCTTTCAGGGTTGTAAGAACAGCATCATGAAAAAAGTCTGTGTCACTTTGGAGCCATTTTTCCAAAGCACAGCGTGTTTTCAGTCAACGCTCCTTTCGCTGGTCAGTCAAGAAATGGAAGCGCAGATTGCACAGAGACCCTTCTCATTCCAAAATCTTCTGTTAAAATTCTCTGAACTGAGCTCCAAGATAGTCCAGATAACTTTCCCACCTCATCTTTGAGCACAAGTGCATGAATTTTGTTGACATTTTCATCCATTCAGGAAGCTGATGGACATCCAGAATGAGGTTTGTCATCAATTGACATTTCACTGTTTTTGAAATGAGAAAACCACTTGTACACTTGAGTTTTCCCCATAGCACTCTCCGTGTAAGCTGTGTTCAATATCACAACAGTGTCTGCCTCACTTTTCCTGGGCAGGAAACAAAATTTCACAGCCCCACACTGTTCTCTTAAATTGGCCATCACAAAAAGACAAGGTTCTAGCAAAACTGCTTTTATGAAAAAATTCACGGCGACCAGAAAGAATCTTCCTAGGCAATGCCATTAGGTGCACTAATGTGGAGTGAGTTGCTCAATACTCCTCTATTGGGAAAAATGACTACTATGAAAGCTCCACCCAGCGGAGCTTTAGTGGTTTCTTTTGGGGACCCTTTTGTATGTTGACAGGGAAATGCCAGAGGTTCAGGCCAGATTCAGAAGAAGGCATAGAACAAGGGACATCATTGCTGACTTCAGAGGGATCTTAGCTGAAAACATAGAATACCAGAAAGATGTTTACTTGTGATTTATTGCCTGTGCTAAGGATTCAACTGTGTGGACAATAACAAACTATGATACCCTTGCAAAGAATGAAACCCAGGAACACTACATTGTGCTCCTGCAGAATCTGTACATGGAACAAGAGGCAGATGTGTAAACAGAAGGAAGAAATACTGCCTGGTTTAAAATCAGGAGAGGGGTCTATCTGGGCTGTATCCTTTCACCATAGCTATTCAATCTATGCTGAGAAAATAATTAGAGAAACGGGATTATATGAAGAAGAATGTGGTATTAGGATGAGAGGTAGGCTTATTAACCACCTTAGATATGCAGATGACACATTCTTGCTTGCTGAAAATGAGAAGGACTTGAGGCACTTGCTAATGAAGATTAAGGACTGCAGCCTTCAGTATGGATTACTACAACATAAAGAAAACCAAAATACTCCCAACAGGACCAGTAGACAACATAATGATAAACGGAGAAAAGACTGAAGCTGTCAAGGATTTTGTCTTCCTTGGATTCACAATCAGTGCTCTGGAAGCAGCAGCCAAGAGATCAAATGGTGCAATGCACTGGATAAATCTGCTGTGCAAGACCTCTTTAACGTTTTGAAAAACAAGGAGGTTACTTTGAGGACAAAAGTGTCTCTGACCCAAGCTCTGATAGTTTCAATTTCTTCATAAGCATGTGAAAGTTGGATATTAAATAAATAAGGCTGAAGAAGAATTGATGCATTTGAATTATTGTACTGGGGAAGAATACTGAAAATACCATTACTGCAAAAAGGATAAACAAATCTGTCTTGGAAGAAGTAAAGTCAGAATGTTCTTTAGAGGCAAGGGTGTTGAGACTTTGTCTCGTGTACTTTGAATATGTTGTTGGGGGAGACCAGTCCCTGGAGAAGGACATCATACTTAGTACAGTAGAAAGGCAGAGGAAAGAGGAAAACCTTTGAAAAGATGGATTGACACAGTAGCTGCATCGATAAGCTCAAACATGGGGACAATTGTGAGGATGGAGCAGGACTAGGCAGTGTTTCCTTTTGTTATACATTGGTCTCTACGAGTCAGAACCAACTCAGTGGCACCTAATGATGACAAAGGTGGTAGTAGACTGGAGGTCCTAGCTAGCAACATAAGACAAAGAAAAGACATCAAAGGTATTCATCTGGGGAAGGAAGAGGTGAAATTATCATTATTCGCAGACGATATAATGCTTTACATCGAAAATCCCCTAAACTCCACAAGTGGAATGTTGGAAGCAATAGAGGAATATGGCAGAGTGGCAGGATACAAGGTCAACAAACATAAGTCTATTAGTCTGCTTTACACATCAGACAAGATCACAGAAGAGACAATTAAAAAGGTAGTACCCTTTACAATAGCCAAGCACAAACTGAAATATCTAGGGACTTACTTGACTAAAAAAACGAAAGGTTTCAATGAGGAAAATTATAAAACACTACTACCAGAAACCAAGAATGACCTCAACAAATGGAAGAACATCCCAGGCTTGTGGATTGGAAGACTCTATATAGTAAAGATGTCAGTTCTGCCCAAGGCACTGTATAAGTTTAATGCTATCCTGATACGAATACTATTATCCT